CGTGGGGCTAACGTATTACGGCGAGGAAACTCGCCCCAAGGCAAATCCGTCGTTCACCTTTGCGACGGACTATGCAAGTCACACCGACTGCAGGTGAGGTCCAGCTATGCCGCTGAGGCACTTGCAGTTGCACATAATCTTGATGAATGCTATCCCACGCTCATTACTCTCCACGAGCTCAAGGCTGGAGCACTTACCCCACGACAACTACGAGATATGCGTGAAGGTGGAGGCCTAGCTATCAAAGTTTCCCTTACTAGAGACGCTGAGTCTGTATATAAATCGTTATCCAGCAAAGACCTCAAGATACCGACGGAACGTACTTTGCTGGGACATCTCAGCTGGATACGTGAGCTCATGGATATAGGTATCGTGCAGAACGTACAGTGGTGTGACACTAGAGACATGACCGCAGACGGGCATACAAAGGGGAGTACCGATCGGGAGCTGCTTCTGGAAGTGATGTCAGGCACTCAGTCATGTAAGTACGACGTGAAGCAGTTTGTTCCCTTTCGGGGCCCCGAGGACAACACCAAACCTAAGTCGAATCATTTTTAGTATGTCCTTGTTGCCCCTGCGGTCCAGTTTGCCAGCACGGAATATGGAGGCGCCCTCTTTCCTGCTCGGAAACGAGCCATACTTTTCACGCTTGGCAACGAGCCTGTTCAGTTTGGTTCAGGCTCTTTGCCTTAATACCTTTTTGCCCGGAGGGGAATAGCCTGTTTGGCTTACCTCTAGCCGGGCCGATAGCCCTTGTCTATCCGAGGGGCTGTCCTGTTCATGCGTGGAAAAGTTTTGCGAGGAAACTCGCCGGCGAATAATCTCGCCCTTCAGTCTGGTGGTTGACCAGACTGCGTGTACTGTTTTCCTTGCAAACAGTTGCGCGCCTGTCGAGAGCCTAGCGACCGCGCGGCTTTACTCTCCGTCTCCTCCTCTCCCGACTTTAAGGGTAGCTCTGTGGGAGATGTTATAGATAATCGGGAGTATAGCCTGCGCGTCGCTGCCTTATGGCTCAAGGCACGCGCGCCCTATTTGCCCGGATACCTGACGTGGCATTCGCTATGTGCAGGAAAGATCATTACATCGATCTTATCCTACCTTACTCATCCACACCCCATATCGTATTCCTTCGACATGGAACTGGATGCAATATGACCTACCAGAGTCATTTCAGACTTACACTGCCAGGGACGCCGAAATCGGGAACCGGGAACCCAGGAACCCAGCCGCCCACCGAATTGGGAACCCAGGAGCCCAGCATTCCCAGACCCCCTCGAGCAATGAAAAAATCATGACAGGAGGCTTTTTGCTACTTTCGGCCTCTGGGGGCCCTTACTGGCCCTCGGCACTGTCAAGAAACGACTCAGGAAGATAAACCGGTCCAGGGAAATTAATCGAGGCTTCCAGGGGTCGACGTAGTTGAAAAAATACACTAGAGAAAAACCCGAATCAGTGGATGGTTTGAAATGGGATCGATCAACGGATCGATAAGGAGATCGACCGGGAAGCCGGGAGCCCGGGAACCCGGTACCCACCGAAATCGGACCGGAACCAATGACAAAGAAACCGGGAGCCCAGAACCAGGAACCCAGGAACCTCGCCAAAGTTTTCCTTTTCCGCTAGGACCCCTGCAGTGCAAGCACTGATTGGGGAAAATCATGGCGTCGGGGGTTTGGGACTGCCGGGGGCCCCAGCATTTTGGGAACCCGGGGAGTCAGCAGAGCTCACACCGCCAGGAACCCCGGAGCCAGGAGCAATCGGGGCTCAAGAGACGAGGGTCAATGCAAACGGGGGTCAGCCAGAGCGCTGGATCTTGCAGGATCCTGAAGCTCCAAGGTCGCATTGACCCAGGTTTGGGTGCAGGATCCTGCAGGATCTTGCAGGATCCTGCAGCTCCAGGGTCGCATTGACCCGGGCTTGGGTGCAGGATCCTGCACGATTCTGCAAGGCCCGATTGACCCAGGTCTGGATTGGCCCGGGTCAGCAGATCCCCGAAGCAAGGCACCCGGGAAACCAGAAGCCCAGTTGCCTAAGTGTCGAAATCGCCATGGAAGTTTCGCCCGATCTTGCAATTTCTGCCAGGGCCCTTCAGAAGACTGCTCGAAAGGAGAATGACGGCAGCCGAGTGCAACAAAGCATCAGTACAAAAGAAGAGCGAAGAAGACAGCCGCGGAGACGAATACGTTTTGGACGAGGATGAAATCCACAAATTGGGCGAGAACTGATGGCACATCCGAACCTTAAAAATAGAGCGTTCAGGCACGAGGCAAGGTGCACGTCTTCAAAGAAAATGAAGCACCGATTGCTTACACGAATCTCTCTCTCTATATATATATAAATATATATATATATATATATATATATATATATATATCCTCTTCCTATATTTTTACAAACCCCGGCGGGGGGGAAACCCATCCCCCCCCCCCCAAAACCGGACTCCCGGGATCTGGGGCTTTGGGATTCTCCAGACGGGCCGCGAAGCGGCCCCCGGGCCTCGCAGGGCGTTTTGCCAAGCCTTCCCAGCACACCTAGAGCGATCAGGGGGGTCATCGGAGACGTCCCAGAGACCCCCAAGACTGCACAAGAGCGCTCCAAGAGTGACCGACGTGACCTCAAGATGGCCCAAGAGGCCTCCAGGACGGCCCCAAAGAGGCCTCCAAGAGCACTCCCAAGAAGGCCCCCCGAGGCAAAAATCGCAAATTTTCTGTTGGTTTTTGGTGGATTTTGGGATTCTCCTCTTTTCGGCTTCCCCACGCTCCAAGACGGCGGTCTTCTGGGCGTCCGAAGCCGCATGGGAGGCTCCCAAATCGCCCCACAACCATCCGAAAGGGCTCCCAGGCAGTCCAAGAGAGCCCCAAAACGGCACAACACGGGTCCAAGATGGCCCTCAGAGAGCCCCATGGCGGCCCAAGATGGCCCAAAGACACCCTCCGAAGCATTGCAAATCGTGACCTGGTCGTTCAGGGAGCCCGCGGTTGGAGGCAGGGGCCCGAGGAAGCCACCAGAGGCCCCCAGAATACGCCCAGGAGGCCTCCAGAAGGCTTCAAGAAAGCCTGAAACAACTTTTGTGAGGTCCCCAGAGGCTCTCCAGAGAGGAGCCTCCGCGAAAAAGAGCTGAGGAGAATGGGGGGAATGCGTAGGGTATGGCGAAAATAAGGAAAAATATGCATGGAGGAAGGATAACGAATACCTTATGATACTGGCGATGCCGGAAAAAGGCAACAAGGAGTTATCGCTAAATTGTCGGCTTGACCTTCCGGCTATTCCGCATGCGTGCCAAATTTCAAGGACCAAAAGGTGCATGGCGCGAAGCGCCATTGCAGTCTTGTATATATATATATACATATATATATAATGGCCCTCTGCCGTAAGAGGGGTAGCACTGTCGGCCAAGATGAGTTCAGCCATGGAACCCGACAGGCCTAATGAGATCAGTGACACATCAGTCCAGCTCGAGCGGTGGAGTGCACTGGCAGAGAAACTCGACAAGCGCGGAAATTCATATGAATTGCCCTTGCCGTTCAAGATAACGGCTCTAAAACTCATCATGGCACACGCCGGGGAGTGGTTCGACGACGGGCAGCAATATTGTTTCAAGTCGCCCGGCTCCCTAACGGTACAAACGCATCAGAAATTAGATTTGAGATGTGAGTATTGGCCTCGAAAGAAATTGGACGGTGGCATTGAAAACAGCGATGCGATGGACATCGGAGGAGTGGGCAAGGAAGAAGAGTGTTTTGACCAAGCAACCTACCAAAGAAGCTACCACGGAGAATATGACGAAGAGGGCAACTGGTGGCCCATGGATGAAATGGTAGCACAGGCTGGAATGACAACTAAGGTTGGGATGAAGAAGACGTGGGCGCAGTCAATAAATGCAAAGGTAAAGGAAAGGTCAGATGCTACAAGTGTGACAAAGTGAGCCACATGGCCAAGGACTGCAGAGCCAAAGGCAAAGGCAAGGTCAGTGGCAAAGGGACAGGACCCCCAGGATGGCAAAAGGGCTACAACAAGGGTAACAACGGCAGCTACGAGGGAGCAGGTAAGCAATCAAGACAATTTGGGGGTAAACCAGGTGACAAGGGTCACGTGCCCATGATTGAGCGCGAATGTTACAAGCACTGACAAAAGGGCCAGATTGCAGCCAATTGCACCAAGAGGGCCAGCGAGATTGGACAGGCCAGCAGTGAGCAAGGAACATATAACCTTGGACAGCCCCAACCATCGGGAAGAAGGGAGGAGGAGGGGGAGGACGAGGAGGAGGAGAAGGTGGTAGAAGAAGACGAAAAAGAAGGAGAGGAGGAGGAGGAGGAGGAGGGAGGAAAAGAAGGAGGAGGAGGAGGAGGAGCAAGAGGATGGAGGAGGAGGGGGAGGGAGGAGGAAGAAGGAAGGAGGAAGGAAGAGGAAGAGGCGGCGGGAGAGAAGGAGGAAAGAAAAAGGAGGAGGAGGAAAAGGAGGAGGAGGAGGAGGAGGAGGAGGGAGGACGAGGAGGGAGGAGGGTAAGAGGGGGAGGGAGGGGAGGGAGGGAAGAGGGAGAGAGGAGGGAAGAGGAGGGAAGAGGAGGAAGGAGGAGGAAGGGAGGGAGGAAAGAAGGGAGAGAGGAAAAAAGGAAAAAAAGGAAAGAGAGAAGAGGGAGGAGGAGAAAAAGGAGGAAGGAGGAAGAAGGAGGAGGTTGAGGAAGGAGGAGGAGCAAGAGAAGGCAGAGTAGGAGGAGGATGGAGCAGGAGGGAAGAGGAGAAACGATGAGGAGGAGGAGGAGGAGTCGGGAAGAGGAGGAGAGGAGAGGAGACTGGAGGAGGAGGAAGAGGAGGAAGGAGAGAGGACGAGTAGGAGGAGAACTGGAGAGTACAAGGAGGAGCGAGGAGAGGAGGAGGAGGGAGGAGAGGAGGAGGGAGGAGAGGAGGAAGGAGGAGGAGGAGGAGGAGAGGAGGAGGGAGAGGAGGAGGAGGAGGGGAGGGGGGGGAAGAGGGAGGAGGAGGGAGCCCCCCCCCGCCCAGATGATGGCCCAGAACATCCAGAACACCATGGCGAAGATCTCGAGGCCACGGCCTGCGGCCCCGCGGCGGAGGCCCCGCGTGGGGGTCTCTCTCTCGCGAGCGGTCTGCCAGCGTCGTGGCCGTCGTCGTCATCGTCGTGGTCGGGGGGGAGAGGACCCAGACCCCCACGCGTCGTGAAGAAAAATACGACGGATGGTTCTCGCTATCTGCAGCTTCTGGAGGCCCTCACCGGGCCTCGGTACCGTTTTCAAAAACATTAGACATGAAAATCTGGCTTCAGGCAGGGGTCCAGACCTTTGAGGGTCCACGTCATGAAAAAGTCAGGACGTCGGAAGTCTGGGGAGGAGGAGAAGGAGGAGGATAAGAAAGCGGGAGGGGGGTGCGCGACGCGCAGCCTTCTGCCATGGGGGAGCGACGGACCCAGGCCTCTGGGCCCCAGACCTCCCCGCGTCGGGGGGAATAGAAACAAAAAAAAACATGACGGACGATGCCTCACCACTTCCTTCCTCTTCCTCCTCCTCCTCCTCCTTCTTTCCTTCCTTGCTTCCTTCCTTCCTTCCTTCCTTCCTTCCTTCCTTCTCCTCTCCCTCCTCCTCCTCCTCCTCCTCCTCCTGCTCCTCCTCCTCCTGCTCCTCCTCCTCCTCCTCCTCCTCATCCTCCGCCTCCTCCTCCTCCTCCTCCTCCTCCTCCTCCTCCTCCTCCTCCGTTCATTTTTCTTATAAATAACTTCTCCCTGTCGCACCCCGAAGCCAGTTTTTGGGCGGGCTGGGCGTTTCGCCTGAGACTTCTTCACCACTCATGGCTCCGAAGATTTCAAAGTGGCAACCATTTCACCGATCGAGGGTGGGTCGTTTTAAGAATGTGGCTCTAATGTGCCTCTCGCTTTAGCGCCGCGCACATTCGTTTTTAATATTTGCAAGAGCTTCACGGATTGAGGGCGGGTCGTCTTCAAAATATGGTTCTCGCCTTAGCGCCACGCACATTCGTTTTAAAAAATTGCAATAGCTTCACGGATTGAGGGCGGGTCGTTTTCAAAATGTGGTTCTCACCCTAGCGCCGCGCACTTTAGTTTTGTTGAAAATTTGCAAGAGCTTCACGGATTGAGGGCGGGTCGTTTTCAATGTGTTTCTCGCCTCAGAGCCGCGCACATTCGTTTTGAAAATTTGCAAGAGCTTCACGGTTTCCCATGACCAACGTGCCAGAAATGATGTTTGGGAAGGATTGACGATTCTGCGGATGCAACTGTCAGTTGATCCGTGGTGTTGAAGTCCCCACAATGGCTTTCTGACACGATTCCAGATCGTCAGGACGCAGCAGTCAGGTTGATCCGTGGCGTAGAAATCCCGAGAACAATGCTCTGGCATGCGTCAAGGTCTTCAAAGAAGGGTTGCCTTCCAACGAAGCAGTTTCCTCAATGGAAATGGACCGTTGTACGGGCCTGTGAAGAAGAAGTTTGGAGGAGGGTTACTTCCAACATCGTTGATGACTCTTGGGTTTACAGTGGTCCTCCTCCTCAACCTCCTCCGCCTCCTCCTCATCCTCCTCCTTCCTCTTTCCTCCTTCCTTCCTCCCTCCTCCTTCCTCCTCCTCCTCCCTCCTCCTTCCTTCCTCCTTCCTTCCTCCTTCCTTCTTCCTTCCTTTCTCCTCTTCCTCCTCCTCCTCCCTCCTCCTTCCTCCTCCTTTCTCCTTCCTCCTTCTTCCCTCCTTCCTCCATCCTCATTCCTCCTTCCTTCCTCCTTCCTCCTCCTCCTCCTCCTCTTTCCTCCTCCTCCTCTTCCTCATCCTCCTCCGCCTCCTCCTCCATTCCTCGTCCTTATAAATAATTCCTCCCTGTCGCACCCGGAGGCCTGTTTTTAGGGCGGGTTGTGCGTTTCGCTTGAGACGTCCCCACCATGTGCGATCCTGCAGTTTAAAAAGTGGCAACGGTTTCACAGATGGAGGGCGGGTCGTTTTCAAAATGTGGCTCTCGCCTTAGCGCTACGCACATTCGTTTCAAAACATTGCAAGGGTTTCACGGATTGAGGGCGAGTCGTTTTCAAAATGTGTTTCTCGCTTTTGCGCCGCGCACATTCGTTTTGAAATTTGCAAGAGCTTCACGGATTGAGGGCGGGTCGTTTTCAAAATGTGGTTCTCGCATTAGCGCCGCGCACATTCGCTTGTAAAAAATGCAAGAGCTTCACGGGTTGAGGGCGGGTCGTTTTCAAAATGTTCTTCTCGCCTTAGCGCCGCGCACATTCGTTTTATTTAATGCAAGAGCTTCACGGGTTGAGGGCGGGTCGTTTCAAAATGTAGTTGTCGCTTGGGCGCCGCGCACATTCGTTTTAATAATTTGCAAGAGCTTCACGGCTTCCCATGATCAGCGTACGAGAAATGATGTGTTGGAAGGAGTCACAGTTCTGCGGATGCAACAGTCAGTTGATTCGTGGTGCGGAAGTCCCCGAAAAGGTTTTCTGGCACCGTTCCAGATCGTCAGGACGTAGCAGTCAGGTTGATCCGTGGCGTAGAAATCCCGAGAACAATGCTTTGGCATGGTTCAAGATCTTCAAAGGGTTGACTTCCAACGGAGCAGTTCCCTCAATGGGAATGGACAGTTGCACGGGCCTATGTAGAAGGAGCTTGGAGGAGGGTTACTTCCACCATCGTTGATGATTCTTGGGTTTACACTGGTCCTCCTCCTTCTCCTCCTCCTCCTCCTACCTCCTTCCTCCTCCTCCTTCCTCCTTCCTCCTTCTTCCTTCTTCTTTCCTCCTTCCTGCCTCCTTCCTCCCTCCTCCTCCTCCTCCTCCTCCTCCTCCCTCCTCCCTCCTTCCTCCTTCCTCCTTCCTCCTTCCTTCCTCCTTCCTCCATCCTCTTTCCTCCTTCATTCCTTCCTCCGTCCTTCCTTTCTCCTCTTCCTCCTTCCTCCTCCTCCCTCCTCCTCCTCCTCCTTCCTCCCATCCTTCCTCCTCCTCCTCCTTCCTCCTTCCTCCTTCCTTCCTCCTTCCTTCCTTCCTCCTTCCTTCCTTCCTCCTTCCTTCCTCCTTCCTTCCTCTCTTCCTCCTCTCCTCCATTTTCCTCCTCCTCCTCTCCCTCCTCCTCTCCTCCTCCTCCTCCTTCCCTCCTCCTCCTCCCCCTCCTCCTCCTCCTCCTCCTCCTCCTCCGCCTCCTCCTCCTCCGTCCACGCCTGCCAGGGGCCCCTCACAGGGTATCGGGGTCATCAACCAGCGATTCTTCAGGGGCGGCCAAGAGGGGGATAATGAATAGGGGCGGGTGGAGATCAAGGCGTGGGCCATGATATTTCCTCAGATGTCATGGCGCCTCTTCTTGTTTCATTACGTCCCTGGCCCACCCACACACACCCCTGGACCGCGCACACCGCCGGCCATGATTTGCGCTCCCCCCTCTCGGACGCCCCCAGTTCTCGGGTCCTGGGGAAGGGGTCGAGACTTCCAGGGGCCCACACTGCGGGGAGAACACGGGGTCGGGGGTCTGGGGGCAGGAGGGCGGGCACGCTCCCTGCGTCCGAGGATCGAGGGGGGCTGGACAGAGGTTCCATGGCCGAGGAGGGTTCTGGACGTTTTTTTGTTGGTGGGGGGGAGGGGGGGTGGGGCGCTTTCGTGGGGTCCTGGGGCTGTGTCGGGGAATTCTTGGGGGGGGGGTCCTCCTTCCCCGCCTCCCCAGGGCGAGGATGAGCGGACATGGACTCGGGCGGGTTCCGTCGCCAGTTGAGGCAGCATTGGCTTCACGTTGCGAGGAGCACATTGCTACTGTATTTCCTACGGTTCCACATCTGGAGCAGAGTGAGGGCCCCTCTGCTCCGCCCCTCTTTGTTCTTCCTCTCCTCGTGCGCCGACGCGCGCAGGTAGCCGCGGCCGCCCCAGCCGCACCCGAGGGCCCCGCGGCCACCCCGCGGCCTCGGGCGCGCGCCCGCGCGGGGCAGGCCCGGGGCCGCGCCCACCCCCGCCCCCCCTCGCTCGCTCTCCCGCCCGCCGTCCTCCGGGCCCGCCGCGCCTCCCCCTCGACCGCTCCCCTCCGCCCGCCGCCGCCTCGTCCGCAGGCGAGCCTGCGCCTCCCGTCCGCCCACGTCCTCCACAGTTCCCGCTCCTCGTGCTCTCCTCCGCTTTCCCCCCCCCCGCTGTGTGCTCCCCTGTCCTCGCTCCTCTGCCGGGGGAGGAGGAGGAGGAGGAGGAGGAGGAGGAGGAGGAGGAAGGCGGAAGGGGAGGGGGATGTCGGAGGAGGAGGAAGAAGAAGAGGGGGAGGATTTGATTGGATTCGCGACTGCGGCACCATGCGGTTCCCACCTCTGGCCAGGCACACTGCTGAGATCACGTGAGCTCGCGCGTCGCTGGGCCGCAGACGTCATGAGGCAGTCTTGTGACAATCCACCATGTTGCCGTGCACTCCCATGCCTACACAAGGCACTGTAGAGCGTGCGCGACCGTATTTTCGGCAATCGTTGCATCGAGCACCGAGAATCATGCCTCGATGTCCTGAGGCATTCCCCACCCCCTTCTCCTGCCAGGAAATCGCACGTCGTGTGTCGTGGCGTGTGCGCGAAGTTGTACGCGAGTTCCCACAGTCGTTGGACCTCCTGCTCCGTCGGCGAGCGGGACTTGTTGGGTGTCGTGGGGCTTGGGGTGTCGTGATATCGTGGTGTGCTGAGATGCATCCTGGGTTTGTTAAGGCTTATGAGGTTTAGCTAAAGTTTAGCGCATTTATAAAGTTTACCATATGTTTATCAACAATTCACTTAAAACTTTTATAAACGTTTAGCCGTCGCGATATGCAAGCTATGAAACTACCATGCAAAACATACGTTGCACCACGCCACGTAGGATGCACCATAGGTTGCGCCAAATAGGATGCACCACATACGTTGCACCACATAGGTTTCCCCACACAGGTTTCCCCACACAGGTTGCACCACATAGGTTTCCCCACGTAGGTTGCACCACGAGGATGCACCACATAGTTTGCATCACAGCATGTAGCACAACATTGGTTGCACCACTTGATATGAGCTGAACTTCAGTTTTCGACGCCTTCGGCGCGGCGCCGCCGCCCACGCCGCCTTCGGCCTCGGTTTCGGCATGCCGCTTTGATCGTTTTAAACGTGAGGAGGGAAGGGGGAGGAGGGGGGAGGAGGAAACAGCAGGCGGAGGAGCAGGAGGAGGGGCGGGAGGAGGGGAAGGAGCAGCAAGAGCAGGACAAGCATGAGGAAAAGCAGGATGAGGAGGAGGAGAAGCGGAGCAGGAAGACCTATAGCCTCCTCATTTCTCATCCTCCTCCAGTTCGTTGCCTTCAGCCGCAATGGCTTGAACGTGCGCGTTCGCATATCGTTTCATGATGGGTTGTGCGGCGGTGCGCGCAGCGTATGCGAATGGTTTCTCCTCTGGGCGCGACGCGCCAGCAAATCCTATCATGAAAACTCGAATGGCAGGATGGTGCCGACGGTGCCGTCGGCGTATACGCAGTGCTCTACTGCAGCCAAGATGGCTTTAGTCTCCCAACATTGCACTGGAGACTCCGACAGTTTCCACACCGCCTTTGCAGCACCACGGATGCGCTGAGAAAACTCCATCACCTCCATCATAGAAACAGCTTCTCCACTGACCTCGACATGCAATTTCACGCGGGCGGCCAGTGTGCCATCGGGGCCATTTAGAAGCACAACACCCCCTTGAGTGCATAAGCCGAGCTGGCTGAAGCGAGAATTTTTGCCCACGTTGACTGGGATGTCATCGCCTTCCAATCCCAATGCGTCCATTATCAGCTGTCTGCGTTTCTTGGGGGCTTTGCGTCCCTGCACCAAGCCAACGTCGTAATCAAAACCATGGCTTGTTATTGCAGAAAGGTGGTGGGCAACGCACTCGCTCAGCAACGACTTGCTGGCTGATCCAGAGATGTTCGCCAATTCGGTGGCGCATCGCTTCGGCATTCTACGCTTCCTCTCAAGGACAAAGCAAATCAAGAGCCGCCCGTTTTTTCTCAAGTATCTCAGGGAGGTGGAGAAGCCAGTGGCATTTGGGCGTCAAGCACTAATACCCGAAAGCAGCAGTAAACGACTCTAACAACGTATGAACACAACCTGAAAGCCTCGTTGGGCTCACGTCGATCCGACTGGTTGCAACTACAGGTTCCGACAACTGGACGCAAGAAATCATAGCGTCGCAAGCCGCATTGGCTGCCCCCATGGGTCGCAGGACCGTCTGACTGAACAGCATCCGCACGCCATGGATAGACAATAAATCAGATGCCTGGCATTTTACGTGTTGCGCCTTTCTACGTTTGTCTTTCCGACCAGCATTAAAATGTTATCTAAATGCGCGGCATGAAATCGTCCAGGGAACACCCAATGCGCCAAGAATTCCGAGAATGACTCCCACACGCCGTTGAGCCCAGCAGATATGAAGGCTTCGAACGCAAGGTAAATCACCAGATTCACGACACCGTCGACGAAGAGCGCGTGCATACAGTCATGCATAAACACCTCTGTCGGGTTGACCAGCCTGTCCAAGGCTCTATCGAGCAGCAAGCCCCGCTTAGCAAACGTCAAACCCAACGCTTGCTGCAACATCACGAACTCATCATTTGACAAAGTCCGCGACACGCGTTCCAGATACCTGGCATTCGCGCGAAGCTCATGGCCCGTGGACGCCACGAGCTCATCGAGATGTATTTCGCTACAGCGCAACATGGCTGAACCGTCCTCGTCAACAACCTTTGAGTCAGGTGTGTATACATTCTTGCCAGGCACACCAAACTTGGACGCGCTGTCGCCCCTTGCTTGCCAGACAGTTTCATGAGCGCCGCCGCCTTGCAACACCACGCCCAATTTCGCAAACAGCCTGAAGCTATCCCCGTCTAGATCCAGGGCCATGCCACCGTCTTGGAAATGAAAGCCATCAGGCTTGAAAAAGCATTTGATAGCCTCAGCGAATGCTTGGCTTAACCCAGCAGAGAGAGAAGAAACTGATTTGGAGAACTCAGTCATCAGCACAAACCAGCTCTCTTCGTGACTGAGCGCGCTCACGCCAAATTCCAAGAAGCTCCAATATATAGATTGGAATTTTATTTGCTTCGCTGGTGACAAGGGGCTCCCTGGGGCAACTTCGTCGGAATACAAAACCAAGTTCCATGGCTGTTCTGGCGTCGGCGGGTGAAGCATCAGCTGGCGCTTCAACAACTTCCGAAAGGTTGCACTCTCTTCGACAACTGCCGCTATGGATGCGAACGGGCAGGCGATTAGTATGCTAGCTGGCTCTTCCCCTGCATTAATACACGTGAAGGATTGCAAAATAGAGCCATATTGGCCGACAGTTGTGGTAACAGCATCTCTCGCGGCCCGCATAGAGTGTCGATCTATGACCTCTGGGATCCCATTGTGTCTCACGCCCTCCAGAATTGCAGCCAACGCAGAAGCTGCACAGCGAGGCTTGGCGCGATGGAACTCATTCAGCCTGCGCAGCTTAGCAGCCCGCGCCGGCTCCATCCGAAACGGCCCCAGACGCTGAACGGCCCGACTGCATGCCGAGCGAAACGGGCTACGGACGGAACGCGAGCACTTGCTTCACAACAAGGGCGCTCAACTGACAACGCGACGAGCAGACATGCTTTTCTCGAGATTGGCCTCACGACTCACACCGCGCTCTCGAGAACCAAGTGCGTTAACTAACGCAGCACGGAGTGCTTGTATGTTCGGCGAAAAGCCTGGTTATATGGTAGGGGCACCATGCGCGTCTCATGGCTTAGCCTGAGCGTCGTCGATCGCCTTCACTGCTGCAGCCCACGCCTCAGAGGTCGGCTTAGGGCCTCCCCTAACTTTGGAGCTCTCGGAGTAGTTGTCCGACCAGCCCATGCGAGGCTTTAGGCGCATGGCGTGAGATATTCCGCCCCGCCCGCCCATGGCCATCAGTATCAAGAGACGGCCCGACCCCAAGACGAACGAAGTGAAGGCGTGGAACACGCAAGCAGCGGTGAAGGGCAGGAGGGGAGGGCGGACTGATTGGACTGATTGGACACAGCAGCCTTCGAGGGGGGCTGATTGGATTGATTGGACCGATTGGGCCTGCGATTGTGCACGGGGGGAGGGGGGCGCTGATTGGACGCAGCGGCGCCCGAGGACTTCTATCGCGCGGAGGGGGGCCGGCGTTTTAGAGGAGGGCGTGGGAGGGGGGAGGCGGGAGGGTGGCTGTTGAGTGGGTGACCCAAGAGGTTTACGACGCGGCCATCGGGCCACGTGATCTCAAAACAAACCTACCAAAACTACCCCGAAAGTTCACGCGGGCGAGCTGAAACATACAGCCCCACCCCTTTCCCAGCATGACCAACAACGGCGTCGCGACATGGTTAGGCGGAGGCAACGTGACTCGACGTACCCAAGACACCGACCGCATCGCCGCAGCTGAATCAAGCTTTTCAGGAGGGGGGGGCATCGGGGCGCCACTCGCAATCAATCCAGACGCAGCGGTGCGTTGGCTGGCGGTGATTCGCTAAGCGTCATGCATCGCCACGCTTCCTGAAGGCACGGAAGCGCCTGGCCTTGAGGCTTGCGTAGATGATTCCCTGCTTGTAGGCCACTGGCGGGGGGTTCGAACCATCCTTTGGCAACGACGGCATAGCGCCCATGATTTTAGACTTCGGGATCGGCTTCAAGTCGGCATCCTTGGGCTCACCCTTGCCCTTTGCAGCCTCGGCAAGCTCGACCTTCGCAGCCTTCATCGGCTCGACGGCAGCAGCGGCTGCTGCTGGGCGCTTCCGTGGTGGAGCCTCGGCCTTGACCTCAGGTGCCGCGTCTCCCTCTGCGGCTTTAGCAGCATCCTTCTTAGCTAAGGCGTTCGCCTTCGCTTCTCCCATCGCCTTGACCTTGCGCTTCTTGAGGGCGAGGATCGCAGCACGGGCGCGGGGGCCCAAGTCCTCTTCACGCGGCCCGTCGTCATCATCGGCGGCGCCGTG